ATGTCTTCTATGTCTGCTCTACCTTAAATGACTAATTTCACTGTTCTTTACACGTGTAAAATACACATTGACAAACTGCAAAGCAAACTGCCAGCTCAGTAGCTGAGTGTGTAAGTAACTTGCTTTGTAATTTGTCTTTCTGTTCTAGGCCACATGATCGAATCTCGTTGACAGCATCATCATAGATATGCGCTTCTTTCTAGCGAATCCTGCCCTTCTCATATCGATATTAAATGGACATGCTAAAGTACATCAGGTCCTTAACTATGACTTAAAATAAGTGTAAAAGAAATATTAAAAATACTTTTTAAAAACTTTAAACAGATGCGTCTTGACGCGTGTGGGAAAGACGCGTTTTAACATAGCGAAATGGTGCAAAATCGAGGCAAGCAGACGCGTCACCACATGCGTCTTCAGACGCGTCTACAACTAAAAAATATTTACATGGGTGGACAGGCCGTGTAGATACAGTAAGGTACAAAAGTCTTTGCCCTCAGTATTTCAAGTATTTATCAGGGGGATATGATGGATATTAAAACCGAATATGTGCATAGATAGGGCATGGTACAAAAGTATCACAATTAATAGTTAATCCTCTCTCCCTTCTAATCAATCAAAGCTAAACATCGTGCTTTCATCGATTCGCCCAAATGATTTAGGGTGACCAAGTCGGTTTCTTCCCATTCTTCGTGTAGAAATCTGTCCAGTTCATCGAGATTTGAGGGTTTTCACTTCTCGACACGACGTTTGATGATTGAACAGAGGTTCTCCATTGGATTAACGTCGGGGCCGTTCGACGGCCAATCGATCATTTCGGGCACTTCGTTGCGTTACAGTTGCCTTGTCACTCGGCTTCTATGTTTCGGATCATTGTCTTGCTGCAATCGCCATCGTCGACCGAATTGCCTTCTGGCGTTGCGAATAAGGTGACCTTGAAGAATTTGAACGTAGTAGGGACCATCCATAATACTTTGAATGAATGATAGCCGACTAGGCCCTTGACACTGAAGCCACCCACACCATAATCTTTTGTCTGTTCTTCGGAATTCGTTTGACCTCGGCCCCTGGATTCTTTGATCATCGACGAATGGTGTTTCTGAATAATTGTTAGCAGGTTTCGTCGGTAAATATTGTTCGGCTCCAATCGTCGTCCTTGTGTTGAATTGTCCAATGGACACGCGCATCTTTCTGCTTTTGTGTCAGCATTGGCGTAGCGTAGGGCAAAGTACTCTTGTAGCCATTCGTTTGAGCTGGCGCTGTACCATCCATTGGCTCATGTGCCGACCTCGGTTCTGAAGCAGTTTTTACGCCAGTTCTTTGGTCGTTGTCTCGTTGGTTCGTCGAATTCACTTGCCGAGTGCCTTGTCGTCGGAGGCAGTGATCTTTTGTGGTCGACCACTACGAGGTCTGTCCTCAATTGTGGCTTGTTCTTTGATCTTGGCAATATTGTATTTGACAGTCCGAATGGGTATCTTCGTTAGATGAGCAATTGCGGCAGAAGATCGGTGGCCGCTGTTCCAGAGGTGTAAAATAGTTGATCGCTTCGTTTTCAATAAAGTAGAATTTCGTTGTCGAGGCATTTTTTCCTAACTGAAGAATGTTTATGACGATATATGGTATTCACAGCTATATATATAGGCCTCTCCGCACCTTCTAGAAAGTTCTCGAAAAATTTCTCCGGAAACTTCCAGAGAAAATCCTCCAGAAAGTTAGCATATGCGTGGGGCAAGGACTTTTGCACTTTACTGTATATCAATCAGTTAGTTATAACTGTGATTCATAGTTATAACTATTGTAAATTTTTGACTAAAAGTTAAATTAGCTATAACTAATTTTAACTCCAATTAGTTATAACTCAGATAGTTTTAAATCCATCAGTGCCATACACACACCATCAGTGCTCGTTTTTCGACTATACACACACTTTCAGTAAAACAAAAAAAATTCTAGTTTGATCATTGGTTTTCAGCGATACTATTCTTCAATAAGAATTCATTGACTCATTTTATTTATAAATGCAGATGGAGAAGTGAGAGCTAAAGGCAGTAATAGAGACAAGTTAAAGGAAGAAAGAGTAATAAAAGCAAAATATATATGATTCTCTCCGACGAATAACATGTGATGTGAATCATGTCAGGGTAAAAATTTACTTTTTTTTTGCTCTTGTTCCGTAGTCTGCTGAGCAAAAAAGAAAAGTTTTTTCTTTCTGTAGAATGCATTTTTTCAAACAAGTGAAATAGAAAGAATAATCATTCTCTCGAAAAAATATTGTTTGTTACGCATAGTGTAGTCTACGATATATTTTCTTGTTTTTCTTGATACATATACATACACGTGAATGAAACCCATTTACAACATTTATTTTACTTATTACGTAATACTTTTTAGATTCAATGCCAAAAACAATAAAATTTTGTCAGATAGATTCGTGTAAACGTGAAGCTGAAACTCATTGTTACCACTGTTCTCAAGATGTATGTGCCCATCACTTTTTTGATCATAAACAATCGATCAAAAATGAAATGAATCCTCTGACAGATCAAATTAATACACTTACTGTCAAAATAAATGAATTGAAACCATCTTCCATCAATATTGAACAACCATTCTATTATTTGGAACAGTGGAGAAATGAAGTACAAGCTTTAGTCAATGATGTTTACACGTTAAAACGACAAGAGATTGAAACTATTGTTCAAAATCATGAACAAGAATTTAATGGATATAAAATGGAACAAATGAGAACTCTGGATACTATTCGAAACGCAGTAGAAGAATTCGTAAATAACGGAGATGTAACGTTTAATCAACTACAAGAAATTAAACAAAAAATTGAAACTATTGAAACAAACTTGACCGTAGCACATGATCAATTGATTAATGTTGAAATTAAGACTCCCAATATTAATCAAAACATGATAGTTGTCATGTCAATTCCAATCGCACAATCTGATCGAAAACTACATCAATGGCGATCGAAAAGGACAGTGACGACAAAACATTTAGAACAACGGTGAGTAGTAGTAGTATGCGACGCAGATAATTCATAAACATAGGGCTAAACACAAAGTCAATCAGGTTTGTACGAGTATCCAATGAGAATTTTTAAAAACAGTTTGAAAAATGAAAAGGAGGAGTTGGAATTAAAATTCGATCACTTTATCTACGATTTTTACCGCAAACGTGGAGGCCTATCTTAATCGAAAGAGCATAAAATTCTCGTCGAACAAGTAAAGAATACTTTTAAACATGGTAAAAAAAGCCTGACTAAATGCAAACTAGTGAATTAGAATCAACTTTTCATGCATCATCGAATGATATTAGTTTTATTTGTTCGTATTACCAGCCATGAGTTGCAATTAACAAACTTTAAAGAAGAGCGTTTTTCCAAAAACGTTGATTTTGCCATAAATTTGCTCTCTACACTGTAAAAAAAAACGAGTGATCTAGGACACCTTTTAGATTCACTATCACAGAAACAGTGTCCTACACATCGTCCAAAAAATCCCGTAGGACACAACAACAAAGCCCGGCGCCGGATCCCCTTTTCAGCAAAAACCAACAATATCGATCCGCCACCCTACATCGGTGTTCTAAAATTTTTTAAAATATCTTTTTTTCGATCAGTATTTTATGCTCGTTCGAATGAGATAGGTCTCTAAGTTTGCTGTGCAAATCATGGATAAAGTGGCCGACGCCAGGTAAACTTAATCGTCTGTCACTTACAAATTTCATATGAGAGTAGACTAAAATAATTCTTAAATTTCAAATGGCGGATACTCGCCCCCCCGGGGGGGGGGGGGGGGGGGGGGGGGGGGGGGGGGGGGGGGGGGGGGGGGGGGGGGGGGGGGGGGGGGGGGGGGGGGGGGGGGGGGGGGGGGG